AGAACATACAATTGATAAAAGCTTCATAGCCTGATTTTTTTCTGAAGTGGTTACGATTTAACCATTTGTTTTTCAGTTTCTAAAAGCAATGCAAATAATTATAATGGTTAACACCACTAAGCAACATTATCCTCTTAATAAACACAAGCCCTGCACTTATATTATGCAAACATTTAAGACAGTCACATCTGATTTAGATGATTTAGTCACTCAGAAACCCAAGTTTAATGAGCAGATTCAATTGCCAGTTAATGTTCACTTTTTATGGTCAACTCCTTGCTGCTCAGTGCTCGGCTTGGTAGCAAAACATGGGTACAGGTATGTGTATCACACTGATTTGCTGGTATCAGTATCAGTGTATCCCTAGCCCTTAGCATTTGCCTATGCTCTATAATAGATATAGAAGATTAGATAAGACTTAATAAAACAGTATAAATACCATTGATCTGGCGAAAAACTGCTTTCTTTTTTCTTATAAATTTTATCCCACCAGGCACTTCTCATTAAGAATCTGGTTCACAGATAACTTGGTGACATTCTGTTCTAACCCATTTCCAAATCAGTTTAGTTCCTGGGATCACAAACTCAGTGAAGCGAAGATTGTACCTGTATATTCCCAAACAAAGAAAAACTGAATGCTATATTTGGCACACATAATGACTGTCACTTTTTCAAGGTGGATCATAAATGTCAAATAGTTTCCAAAATGGCTCAAATTAAACTTTTTTAGACCATGGCTGGATGGCCTGCATTTTACAACCATCAATCCAGGAGTTGTGAAGTAGTTTCATTTTGGACCGAAAGGTGGACTGTCCTTCAGTGGCTAACATTTAACGCTGAAATGGCCTTTACATTGCACATGTTTATATTTATCAGTAAGGACAGATAGGGTGCACTGTGGCTTTCACCTCAGTGTTCAAACTGAACTGAAAGAGACTCTGGTCCAATGCATAAAAAACATAAGAAATGCGACCTCAAGGGAAAAGTTCCTCCTGCTTTCTTGGCTATTACTGACCTTTAGAAAACAAAATCCAAAGGTATCATCTTTAGTGATCTTACAACTGTTATAGGTGAACTTGTGCAGATGTTCTTACTGTATGGTGGTAGTTAGAGCCCGACCGATATATCGGTTGGCCGATATTATCGGCTGATATTGGCAACTTTAGGCATATCGGCTATCGGCCGATATTTCACGTGGGCATGTTATACCTCGTTATAAAGCTTAGACTCTGTACATTATGTTTGTTTAATCCAATTTACAGACAGATAAATGTCCTAATATGTGGCTCCACATCAGTATTTATCTACTGAGTCATTTGTCTGTGTGTGTCTGTACTGTCCCTGAACACACCACGCGTCACTCACGTGTGTTTGTTTACACCTGCAGACACAGATCCAAACACTGAGATTATATTCTTTTTACGGACAATCGGTTTGAGTCTGGATTAAAAGGACATTTATTAGTGCAGATTTGTGATGTGAGGAGGAGCCTGTATGAGCGGTGAGTGTTGGAAATATGTCGACTCTGAAGCTAGTTTTTGTTATTTGTTATGGGTTAGCTGCTGTAGCTCCCGCACATAAACAGACTGTTTTCTATTGGTCTGTTCTAAAGTGACTATATTGGCCGTATATTTGCTACTGGACCTGCACTGATATGTAAATGAGCTGTGAACAGACGTGTGAATTATGACATTTGCGCATATAATTAATTACTGCGGCGCGCACGTATTTACGGCTAAAGGCTAATAGCGCTACTTTCTTTACTAGTTATGGGTCCGTCGCGAACGAAATGACTCTTAGAACCGGCTCTTTGAAGGGAACGACGGGAGCCTGATCCTTATTGGGAGCCGTGTTTTCTCTTTCTCTCACTTTTTTTCTCTTCACGCCGCGTGGTTTGACAGCGGCAGCGGCTCAAAACGAAACTTTGAGAAATTTGCGTGTACGTAGGATAAAAAAAAATAAAAATTAAAAAAACCGAGCATATTTGACTGTAGTTTAGCATAAAATAAATAAGTCCCGGTTTAGTCCTTTTTCAGTCCTGGTTTAGACCTGGTTCAGTCCTGATTCAGTCCTGCTTTAAACGTGCTTTAGTCCTGCTTGCAACAAAATCTGAAGAGCCGCTTGGGAGCCAAAAGAACCAGCAGCTTTTAGTGAGCCGAGCCAAAAGAGCCGGTTCTCTAAAAAGAACTGGAATACCCATCACTAGTGCCAACCTACTGTCTGTAAATATGATGTAAAGAGGCAGAATAACAATAAATGTTGCCTAAATAAACCCAATTTAAAATCCACCAGAGCCAAACCTAAGTTTTTTAAACAATTCAACATTTACAGTGAATTTTTACATCACTAAATATATCGGCGATTATATCGGCTATCGGCAGCGCCAACTAACATTATATCGGTTTCATATCGGCCACAGCAAAATCCATATCGGTCGGGCTCTAGTGGTAGTGTTCTGACAGTCCTGATAATTTCTGCATTAGCTACAGTCCTAAGTTTTGTTTGAATGGGTCATTATGATCCAGCATTCATTCATTTTTCTTTCTTTTGGCCAGTAAATCTAGTAAATGCACAAATAATTTCACAGTGATTTTTTTTCTTTTTCTTTTTCTTACAAAAAAATAAAAAATAAAGTAAACTACAACTACTACTACAAGAAACATAAGTATCATGCTACTATACATTTCAAGAAGGGAAAAGTGTATGACAGTTGTCTCGTGGGGCCTTCTTGTGCTCTAAACGCCAGGGGAGCACCAAAGTGGAGCATCCGAAATCTAAAAATATTTGATATACTATTTTCAGTACAGTTCTCAAAAGATACAGTTTTTTTAGCAGCTTGTCTAGTCAGTGAAAGAAATATCTGCAAATGGATGCACCTAGCCTGTTCATCCATGGGAGTGGATTTTTGTTTACTGTGGTTCTCCTTGAAGTTACTCATTTTCCCACTGTTTTTGTTGTTGTTTTTCCTTGCTGAGAAGGGGATGTTCTCGGACAGGGATCCATTTGCTTGTTTTCTAATGAATGTTGATTAATCTGCTTGTCTGTTATTGACCAATGTCTGTTTCACTGTTTTCTCTTTCTGTTCATTAAATCAGTAATACTGTTAAGAACTAAGAGGTGGCTTCTGCTGTGATTTTGGGCTTTACAAAAATGTATTTAATAATAATTTAATAATTATATATGAAAATTTGCAATGAAACAACAGACACAATAGTCCAGAGCTTAACAACAACTGCTTGATGGGTTCCATTTTTGTTTAATTTATTCTTGCTACAATGTTTGTGTGAAATGAAATCCTCAATAATTGCACTTTTTGCTGTTGACCAAAGAGTAGCTATAGCCTGCCCCATCTACACTTCAGAGATGGTTGGTGAGTGTTTTGTCTGCTGCCAACAAAAAGCAGCTGTCAGGGGAATTTTCAAGGTGAACATTTTCATTTACGCTACAAAAATTCTCCCTGGAGCCAAGTGGCACTACTAAAATTTAGACACAAAACAGATCATTGCTGAATGAAAAACAACTGTTTACAAGTCTGCAACTGTTTAACTGTCTGAAGTATGTTTGCTGTTTTTTGTTACTATGTACCTCACTGTTTTTTTCTGTTTTGTTAAATTTTTGTTTATTATGAAAACATATATATGGTATTATATGGCCTGTCACTATAGTTATTTGTCTGCTAAAGTATGTTTGTCAGTTAGTATGGCAGCTAAACAAGACTAGCTGGAGCAGAGAAGGCGTCAGATAAGGTCCACAGAAAAGTGTGAGCTTTCTGCCTCCCTGTGTTCGTGACAAACGGTGCTCACGGCCTTTTTCTCTTTAGGCGTCAGAGCTTCATTAGGCTGCAGTCTGTTGCTACTTACTCAGGTCACAGCAGCTCCCTCACAGCCAGCAACAGAAACCCATTTTAGGACAATTGTGAAAATATTAGGCAGCAAAAGCTCTCTGGAGGCTGGTTTTCACTTGTACAGATGAGTAAAATCATCACATGTCACGGCCCGTGATTGGATTAGCCACGTCTCCTCTGAGTGTTTACTTAGGGCCAACCTTGGCACATCAAGGACACATAGTCCCCTGAGACATTACAGACTGAGAAGGGCACAGGTGTGGATCAGGCACACATGTCAAATTACTTTCTGATGACAGTAGCTGAAAACCACAGCAAAGTACAAAACAAGCATTGCGACCACTGTGAGAACTGAAGCAGAATTTCAATATTAGGACAGTTTGATTCAGCCGTTGTCTTATTCTCACAGCCAGATGTTGATGTTCAGTGTTTTACAGTAACTTGCGCTTGTGTCTTCTAGAGTAGTGCATAATATTCATTGTGACCTAAAACTTATCTAAAAGTATACATTAAGTTAACAGCCACACTTCAGTGATCTCAATAAAAAAGTAATATAAATATAATAAAACTGCTATAATCAAAACTGCTATTTCGCTAAACCTGAGAACTGCATTCTTTCACCATTCCAAGGTTTGAAAAAATCATGTTTCTCTACTACTAGTAAGGGCAACAGTCACACTGGCCATTTGATATTCAGATGATTCCAGCCCTGGTTATGCAAACTGTGGAGGAGTGAGGAAAATACAGGAAAAAAATAAGTAACCACCTCCAAGTTTTCAGTCTGATCATGTGCAATAGAGAATCCAAACAGAAGCAAGCTAATGAATAGTTTATAAAACATCTCTTTCTGTGGTCGCCTGCCGAGACAGGAGCTGATTCTGGGTTAAATTAAGTTTGAATCAGTGTCTGACACGAGTGAGAACAGTGAGAACTGCACTGTGAAAGCACGGTTCAGGCAGGAACCTTGACCTTATTTTACATGCTGAAGTTAATACAAAGGAACAAGCACTGTCATCATGGTTCATGGCTCTGTGTCTCCTACACACAAAAGTACAACACACACTTCTCCATGACCCTAAAAAGTCCAACTCTCTGTTTCCATGCTACCATCCGAAGGACTCTGAAGTAACTCATAGTGCCCTCCTTTCTCCTGTAGGTGGTGATCTCAGGAAAGAACAGCAGAGGATACCACTACATTCTCGCCAACCTGGTAAGTGCAGAACAACACAGCAACTTCCATCCATCCATCTTCTTCCGCTTATCCGGGGCTGGGTTGCGGGGGCAGCAGTCTGAGCAGGGACTCCCAGACTTCCTTCAACTCAGACACGTCCTCCAGCTCCTCCAGGGGTACCCCAAATCGTTCCCAGGCCAGCCGAGAGACATAGTCCCTCCAGCTTGTCCTGGGTCTGTTCCCCAGGCGTCCTTCCAGTGGAAGATCTCCGAGGGAGGTGCCCAGGAGGCATCAGGAACAGATAGCCGAGCCACCTCAATTGGCTCCTCTTGATGTGGAGGAGCAGCGGCTCTACTCCGAGCTCCCGTGTGACTGAGCTCCTCACCCTATCTCTAAGGGAGTGCCCAGCCAACCTGCAGAGGAAACACATTTCGACCACTTGTATCCGCGATCTCCTCCTTTCGGTCATTACCCAGAGCTCATGGCCATAGGTGAGGGTAGGAACGAAGACTGACCGGTAAATCGAGCACTTCGCCTTTCAGAGTTGAAACTCCCTCTGACAGAGGGCTCTGCCAGATGTTCCCTACAGACACTTACTACACGCTTGGGCCTGCCAGGTCTTTCCGGCTTCCTCCTCTGCCAGCAGACCCAACTCACAACCAGGTGGTGATCAGTTGAGAGCTCTGCCGCTCTCTTCACCCGAGTGTCCAAGACATGCAGCCGGAGATCAGATGACATGACTACAAAGTCGATCATCAATCTCTGGCCTAGGGTGTCCTGGTGCCACGTGGACTGATGGACACCCTTGTGCTCGAACATGGTGTTCATTATGGACATACTGTGACTAGCACAGAAGTCCAGGAACAAAACACTGCTCAGGTTCAGATCAGTGAGGCCATTCCTCCCAATCGCCCCTCTCCGAGCATCACTGTCATTGCCCACAGGGGCGTTGAAGTCCCCCAGTGGAGTCCCTGGTCGGTGCACTAGTACCCCTCCCAGGGACTCCAAGAAGTCCGGGTACTCTGCACTGCTGTTCGGCCCGTAGGCCTGTCCCCAACTCGAAGGCACAGGGATGTAACCCTCTTGTTCACTGGGGTGAACTCCAACACACAGTGGCTGACCTGTGGGGCAGTAAGCAGGCCCACACCAGACCGCCGCCGCTCCCCGCTGCCAATGGCCAAGAAATAGAGATTCCAGCCCCGCTCAAGGAGTTGGGTTCCAGAGCCCAATTTGTGTGTGGAGGTGAAGCCAATTATTTTTAGTCGGTAGTGCTCGACTTCCCGCACAAGCTCGGGCTCCTTCTACCCCAGCTAGGTGACATTCCATGTCCCCAGAACTAGTCTCCATGTCCAGAGATCCGGGCATCGTCGAGGCCCTGTCCAAATCTCTCAGCACCAGCCCCTTATGGCTCCTCCTGCGGGTGGTGGGCCCACGGAAGTGCAGCCTTCGTCACTCATTCGGGCTGTGCCTGGCTGGGCCCCGTGGGGGAAGGCCCGCCCACCAGGCGCTCACCATCAAGCTCCCACCTAGGCCTGGCTCCAGGCTGGGGCCCCGGTGACGCCATTCCGGGCGATGTAACTGGCCTCTGTGTGGACATCATCATAAAGGGCTTCTGACCCGTTCTTCGTCTGACCCGTCCCCCAGGACCTGTTTGCCTTGGGTGACCCTACCAGAGGCATGAAGCCCCCGACAACATAGCTCCCAGGATCATTCAGGCACTCAAACCACTCCACCACAGTAAGGTGACGGTTCAAGGAGGGGAACACAGCAACTTAACAACCAAAACACCCAAAAACTTAACAAAAAATGTGATGCAATGCAGTGCAAATGTAATTTCTGCACCCCTAAAAAGTACACCTACATTCAAAATATTCCAACACTAACTACCAACAATTTGGTAACATTGGACATTTTAAAAGCTTAAAGTCATATCCACTTAGTTTGATTTTCTTATTGTATGTTTAAAATAACAGTCATTGAAAATATATCACCTTCTTGTAATGGACAAATGTCTCCTGTTCTCTCGCTTACTCTCAGGGCTTTTCCAACATGAGCCTGGATAGGGTCTTTGCCGGTGGAGCCAACATCACCGGCTTCCAGATCATCAACCCAGACAGTCCCGTTGTGCAGCAGTTCCTCCAGCGCTGGGAGCGTTTGGATGAAAGAGAATTTCCTGAAGCCAAAAACACTCCACTGAAGGTCAGTGAGGAGGAGCTGTCAATGTTGTACATTTTATTTAGCGTACTCAAGGTTATTTTTTATCTTAAAAGTTTAAGGAGAAAAATGTCAAAGACAATCTCCTCAAGAAGGTGGTTGTTAAATAATGTCACCTTTTTAAAGCACAGATGTGCATACAATTTAATATCCCAAATCAGAAAAGGTAGATGATTCATTTTGCATGTGACTGTAATACTGCAATGTGCATGACTTCTCTTCTTCTTACATGGGCTCAGTACACATCAGCGCTGACCCATGATGCCATCATGGTGATCGCGGAGGCTTTCCGATACCTGCGGCGGCAGCGGGTGGATGTGTCCCGGCGGGGTAGTGCGGGGGACTGCCTGGCCAATCCTGCAGTGCCCTGGAGTCAAGGCATCGACATTGAGAGAGCGCTTAAAATGGTATGCCGCCTTAAACAACAGAGAAGTAAAAGAATTCCTCTTTCACTTGTTGTTGCCATGGAAACAAATGTCTCCTTTGGTTATTTCTTTAGGTCCAAGTTCAAGGGATGACAGGAAACATCCAATTTGACACATTTGGACGGAGAGCTAACTACACCATTGATGTGTATGAGATGAAGATAGGGGGGCCCAGGAGGGTATGTTAATGCATGTTGCCGCAATGATGAAATTATTAACTTTAGATAATGATCGTGTTATCTTCAGACACACTAGTCATAATTTTATTTGTATTTATACGTGAATTTGTGAATCCTTAATAATGTGAACTTGCATTCCTTCTGAGTTGAAAATGTCCACAGCCAATCACTGTGTGTTCGCAGAGACAAGCTGTGCCAAGCTATGACTCTGCCAGCATGTTCATGCTGGTAACACAATCAAGCAATGTCAAAATGGATATCTTTCCATAGACAAAAGCAATGTTTTGTATTGTTTCAAATGTAGCTTCATTGCAAAATTAGTCAACAACAGCAGCTATGTGTTTTACACTATATTTAGGCAATGCGCCATGTGTGGATTATAGCCTTAATGGCAGTTTTCATGGAGCCTTTGGCTTTCTGAAAGATAGTGCACTATTATTACTATATCTATTATTGAATATACTATTATTCTATACTATAGTCAGTAGGCACTTTGCAACACTTCCTAAAGAAACTAGGTGGACCTCATAACCCGATGAACGTTTTGGTGAGTAATATATATTTAACTTGTACCATTAGTGATTTTGTAGTAAGTTTGTGTAAGCTGTGGACTTTCTCTCCACCAACTCTCCAATAGTAAGCTCAGTGTTAAAGGGGAAAAACATCTTTGCAGTGGCTTTGAAGCATCAAAAAATATAAAATTCCCTAACCAATAGAATTACATAGTACTTCCAGACTGGAATTAGTACATATCCTGTTAATGTGAGGATTTACCCACACGTTTTGTCAACAAGAATAACTCTGACTTCATAAGAGGCTAGGTGGGATGGCTACAAATGAATAATTTAATGAATACTACCAGAATTAAACAGCGTTATCTATTCTAAATTCATAAAGTATGAATATATTTTCAAAATTCAGTGTTTATTTTGACAGTGGAAAATAACATAGTGCATCTGCAACAAAGGGACACAACCAGACTGTAAAGTGTGCCTAGCTGGTATTAAACTCATTTTTCAAGTACTCCACTAGTGCAGCTTTCTTGTTATGTAAGTGAGCCGGGAATAGATTACACCTACTCTGCTCTAGTGCATGAAAAGTGAGAGGGCCCAGTACAACACTACAAGCTCTCAATATTGTCTTTTGTGCAGATAGAGCCGACCAACTCGTATGTACTTGGAAGGCTGTATCTGTAAAAACGTTAAACTATGATGCTTTCTAACTGTCAATCTCTTGTTTTTTTCTAGATTGGTTACTGGAACGAGTTTGAAAAATTTGTTTATATAATGGATCAGCAGGTCACCAACGAGTCCTCTTCTGTGGAAAACCGAACAATTGTGGTCACTACTATTATGGTACACTTTTAAAGCAGGTTATAATAGTTTGATATTAAAATTTCTGCCACTCAAGGTCAAGGTGTCCATTGTTGCAATCTGTCCTGGGACGGTAGAATTATTTTGGTTTGCGTTGCTTTCCATCCACTCACTACATGTTGAAACAGTCGAGTCACTAAGAGTGTTTCAACTGTATCCGTGTGGGTGTCAAAGCATTTTGAGTTTTATCTAATCAGGTGGCTGTTGTAGTAGTGACGTCACAATACCGGCTCTTGATAATTATACTGTTAGGGACATAGATCATCGTGTTTTCATTAAGTCTGTACGTAAGTAAAAATGTTTTCTATTCATTAAGTAAATTGTCAGTGCCGCTGTAAATGGTCAAATTCATCATGAAAAGGAGCTTTGTGCCCAAGAGAGGACATAAACAGCCAAGGGCGACAGCCTTTGGTTGTTTATCCCTCTTTTTTAACAAGATCAGGCTCTAAAATATTTAAGTATCAACAGGCTTAGAGTACACAGAACAATGTAATATAGACAGAAAAAGAAATCCATAGGCCATTTTTAAATGTACAATAAGGTGCGCCTTATCTTACATTTAAAATAATGACCTCTCGTTAATTCTGACTTTGCTTATTATGTTCGCATCTTATGCAAATTCAGAATCATGTGATCATATGTGTCCATTTCAGTGTGAGCCGAGTCATTGTCCTCATAAGCAGGCCCAGAAAGGATCAGCAAATGTAAGGGAAATGTTACAGTATAGTTGTCATCACATCCTTTTCTCACTGTCAGTCTTTGATTTGAGTAATAGTGACTGTTGTAGATGCATATTTCAGATTCAACATTTCATTTTTTCAGAAAATGTTTAAGAAAGTCTCATTACTGATGAAAGGTCAACCTTATATTAAAAAGGTATGATACTTTCATTTATTAACATTGCCATAAATTGAGAAAAATAAGGAAGGGATGTACGTTTTTAATGGTAGATCAATCAATCAATCAAACTTTATTTGTATAGCACTTTTCATACACTTCATTTGCATATGCTTTGTAGCAAAAAGCACTTCACATGCAACAGAAAAATTACAATACAATAATTAAAAACAGCAGCAACCCCCCCACCCCAGTGTTTCGTCCATATATACAACAAATAAAATAGAAACATAAAGCATAAACATAAAGCTCCTAAAGGTTAGAGTAATAATAAAAATGGAGAGCTACGATCAGATGGAGACTAAGTAAAATAGTAATGATAAGGTACATAATAAACATTTTTTCATTAGGTTCCTCTCTAGACACTAAAAACAAAAATAATAGATTAGTGTATTCAGTTACTTTACAAATAGTACATCAGCAAGAGGCAACAACCCAGTCACACAGTATATATTATTGTATACTTTTAGAACAGGGCCATTGTAGTGTAGCATAGAGAAGCATGTGTTTGCACTAATTGTAGTACTTTTGCAGTCAGTAGGGATATTAAAGCAGCTTGTTTTCCTGTCAGAAAAAATGCATCACAACCATTGCAATACTTTTTGATATAATGTGACTTAAATACAAATCTTTCAATCAGCAGTCACTGATGTTTACTTTATGAACTGGAAAAGTCCTTAGTGCAGCCTGTCCCGCGCGTGTGCTGCTCTAACGCAAAGCACAAGCAACCCCTCCGCCCCCCTTGCCTTAAAGTTCAACTGATTTGCTTGGTGTCTGTTTTGCCTATTTCTATACAGCCTAGTTTTCCCCTTTCCCAACAGTCCAGTGCTAACTCTACCTGCAGCCTGCCTTTTCACCCCTATTTGAATTTCTTTAATGCTTTATAGGTCTTACTATGCTTTACTGTCCCATGCTGTGTGCTCCTTGCTCTTTTGCCTTTGCTATATATATGCATGCTGTGTGCAACAAGGCCTCATGTTTGTAAGGCACGAGCTCTTCTTGCCATGGTAATGTACTTTGTATTTCATAAGCAGTTCACCACTTGTGTCTAATTAACAGGAAGCTCCATATGTGATGTACAAGAAAAACTATATGCAGATGGAGGGGAATGACAGATATGAAGGCTACTGTGTGGATTTAGCTTCTGAAATTGCAAAGCATGTTGGGATCAGATATAAACTGTCCATCGTGCCAGACGGGAAGTACGGAGCCCGAGACTCAGATACCAAGACGTGGAATGGGATGGTGGGTGAACTGGTGTATGGGGTGAGTATCTACCTGTTAGGGCAAATTTTAATATAATATTTGTTTTTCTTGCCTAATATGCAAATTAAATATATATATATATATATATATATATATATATATATATATTATATATATTATATATATATTTTTTTTTTTTTTTTTAAACTATTGAGCAAAAATAATTAATCTCATAATGTCTTGATTAAGAAGGTGTAGCTGTGATTGTGGCCTCAACGTTAATGTGATGTCTTGTGTTTAATATTTTAGATTAGCACACTGCCTAATGACACATGCACTTTCACTCCACAGCACAGCAAACATTTATCATGTTAGTGATGAGGCTGCCTGTCTGGAGGTGACTTTAACATTGTCCACATAATGCATCTACTTCATGCTCACTAATTACTTTATGAAGTAGATTTGGGCAAAAAAAATACAAACCTGTGTGATTGATTTTCACATGACTGCTATATGCATTTTGGACAAGTGACTAGCTTATCAATGTGTTAGGTTTGTATATTGTTGAGACTAACGCAGATTGTGCCTGTCTTCGTTTCTGCAGAGAGCTGATATAGCAGTGGCTCCTTTAACCATAACACTGGTACGAGAAGAAGTGATAGATTTCTCAAAGCCTTTTATGAGTCTTGGCATCTCGATTATGATAAAGAAGCCTCAAAAGTCCAAGCCGGGTGTCTTTTCCTTCCTTGACCCTCTGGCCTATGAGATTTGGATGTGCATAGTGTTTGCCTATATCGGCGTGAGTGTGGTGCTTTTCCTGGTCAGCCGCTTCAGTCCGTATGAGTGGCACTTGGATGAGAATGATGAGGCCAAAGACCCTCAGAGCCCCCCAGACCCTCCAAATGACTTTGGGATTTTTAATAGCCTGTGGTTCTCCCTGGGCGCCTTCATGCAGCAAGGATGCGATATCTCACCAAGGTTGGTTATTTTTGTGTCCATTCTCCACCATTTGTCAGCTGTCCTCATCATCTCACTGCATTTTATAGTCCTTTATGGACCACTTCATCCTGCCATGGTGCATATTAGTTATTTTTGAGTTTTCTGGCTTCTGCTGCGGTCCCTCTCACATGTCCCACTTTTGCAACCTCCTTGCTCCTCTGCAGTCTGCATCCATTTGTTGTTAAGCTGCATGCTTGCTGAGATGCCTTGCATCCACAAAATAACTTATATCCACCATGCTGAGGGGCTGTAAAATGCAAAGGGGCCATCACATCTCATTCACAAATCAGATAATTCTTGGAGGGCTACCGTGTTTTTGCTGCATGTTTCATTTTACGCTCATCATTTTGGTGCATATAAAGTATTTTTGTGCGCTTTTATTTTATTCCATTATCCATTGTAATCATAATTTTTTATTTGAACTCTTTTCTTGATCATACACTGATCATACATGGACATATGCAAGCATTTTTTTTTTTTTAAACCTGTAGCTAAGTGCCAGTGAACTTCCTGGGCATTGCATGTTTTAGGCTGTGACTCCTGATAAATAGATGCTCTGTATTTACAGCCTGAATGCTCAGTGGGATAGTGAGCGGCCCATTATGTCTCTTCTGCTGTGAGATTGCGTATTTTGATCTTGTTTTGCTTAACTTACCTCATATGATAGATGTGAAGAGAAGGATTGTACATTTACCAGAACAACTTAAAATATTTAAATTTTATATTATTATTTTTTATTTTGTTATTCATTTGGCAGGGAGTACACTAATCACCATTTAGTGAATGCAACAGATTTAACCACAAGGCAAATTTTCATCTGTATACTTAAAATTGAACGTTGAATGTGAACATGTTTGTGGTCTGTGTTACGAAACCGCATGTCTCATCAGTTTCCGACTTCTCTGATCATTTCATGTCACGCACTACTTTCATTTCAAACTGGTCTAAATCTCAAGTGGAAAGCAGTACTTTTTAAGTCAGATGAACTAGATCATAATTAATACCTGCAACCTGGATTCTGCCATTCTGAAGCACATTTTTGGTAGCTGATATACAGTATAGGCATTGACACTGTAGTATTTATATGTAAGTATGTTGGACTACATACCCACAAAGTACCTGCCACAGTAGGATTAGACTGTAATGGCTGATGACAAGCGTACATGAAGGAATATTATAAAGCAAAAGACAAAAATCTCTTCCAGCTAAAACAGGAGGAAAATGTGTGTGTTTTTGTTGTGTGTTAGTTATACCTTTGCGTGCTGTGCTTGGTCCTCCAGGTCCCTCTCAGGCCGGATTGTTGGAGGAGTGTGGTGGTTCTTCACCCTCATCATCATCTCCTCCTACACCGCCAACTTGGCTGCGTTCCTCACAGTGGAGAGGATGGTTTCCCCCATCGAGAGTGCTGAGGACCTGGCCAAGCAGACAGAGATCGCTTATGGGACCTTGGACTCAGGCTCAACCAAGGAATTCTTTAGGGTAAGCCACTGTTTGGCATACAATACATATATCAGGGGAGACAATAATATTAAACTTGTGCCAGAGAAAATGTAAAAGGTATTTCTGCTATACTTTTTATGTGGTTTGATAAATTAAAAGGGAAAATATGAAAGCCTCTTTGGATCAACTATAAACATTCAGTCACACAAGCTGTAACACAACAAGCCAAAATGTGGAAGAACAGGCACACTAATGGGAATTAATTTTCTTCACACTTCACATTTTCAAACATTAACACACTCACTTTTTTCAACTATACGCAGAATACAATCAAGACTGTGTAGAAAGCCCTAATTAAATGTCCTTATCTTGCCATTTGGTGAAGAAAAAGTTCAATATCTTTTGGCATTTCACATTTTTAGAATCAAAGACTGGTTGGAGTTTGTTTCCAATTCAATCATTCACAGTCCAATTTGCAGCCTCTCCAAAGTGCAGTCTGATGTTTTTTTAAGAGAAATGTCCCGTTCTACAGAAATTGAAATGTCACTCACTCTAGTTCTATTTTTAGTTATGGACTGTTGTTGTGATTGGTCAGTTTGAAACACAATAGTCTTACTTGGCCAAAAATGAACATCTGGTAAAAGTGGCAAAATAAAGAGGACTTTTATTTGGTAGTGTAGCCCTGTGTGTGGCAAGTATAAGAGCAATGGTGGATGTGTCTGTGTGTTTGTGTGTGTGACCCTGGCCATTTTTAAAGGCGTTCAAGCAGAAGAACTGGCGCTGCAGTGCTAAGCTGTGCTGGGGTCTAAAAGCTCAGAGTAGAGGTAGTCATTTGTAACGGACTGTCCTCTCCTGCTCTGCACACAGCAAGAAGCATTAAGCCCAAATAGAGTGGCTTAAATCTAAAGATGGGCAAGTAATTGAATTTTAATTGAGACCGAGATTGAGTCATCTCTAATCATTAATGATCAGTTTGTGTCTTTTTAATTGAGAGGTCCACAGCTAATCTACAGCCAAAAGCAAGTGAAGCCCTGTTCAGACTTTGGAGGGGAAAAAATAAAATTTCTTACTGTTAAATGGCACTGATTAAAAGTCTGCATAGCTTATGCCAGTAAGACAATATAAAATTTAAACAAAAATCAAAATTGATCAATATAAGGGAAAAAAAAGTTTTGTTCTTTTTTTGTCTTATAGCTCATACCTACTTCAATCTACTACTGAAGAAAAAAATATTTTATGTGCAGTGCAGTTTGTATGTGCAGTTCTCTTTGTACATAAAAATACATGCTTACTGAATTGTGCTCAATAGGATCTAGTTTTTTCATGTGAGCATGTGTTAATTGATGCTAGCCTTAATGGCCTATGATTTGTCAAAGGTGCTCCCAAACAGATGTGACAGTGACTTTAACCGGAATGACATACTGTCTATAATTCTCCTAGGAAGGGGAAATGCTATTGTAAGCACTTGTTGTAGCTGATTAATGGGAACTCACTGCTGCTATTAATCAGCAAGTCTCTCTTGATATTGGCTCTGAATAAGCTTCAATTCAAATTATCACAAAAATAGAACATGCTTTTAAAGAGGCTGCAAATTAAAAAGGTATTATAAATCAATTAAAGAAAACAGAAAATAGCTATGGTCCAAAATAATTCTAGACAAGCATATTCCAGTAAGTACATGTCTGTCATCTTCACAATATGGTTGGGCCTGTCATGAGGTATTATTGTCATGTCCACAGAGTTTGTGTGAACACTCCAGTGAACAGAAATTGTGCATATGTCAAGTATGATTCACTCACATGGCTCCAGTCCATTACAGTATAGATAGATTATTTATGGGACTGTATATAAAGCCAGGCCTGTTTGTAATTTCCCTTCGAAGCTCTCTTTAGTTTACCTCCTCTCAAAGTGTAGCTCAGAGGCACTGATCTTTGGACACACAGATGATTAGAAACTAAATATTCATAAATTTGTTTTAGTCTGGCCTCTCCAATCGCCACTATTTACTCACACACCAGATCAATTCATGCAATGTGGTCTTGCCCAAAGGCACAACAGCTGTATGCATTGATTGGACCTGGATCAAGCCACCAACCCTCTAGTTATGACTCTACAACTATTAGCCACCAAGTTTAGCTGTGCTTGTAGTGTTTTAAGGCCATAAAGGTATTCAATACATACATTAAATGCCAACATGATTAGGTAAGAAAACTATACGTTACAGGAAACAGACACTATATGACAATGACCAATTTAAACTTTTCATGTAGTTCTGTCCCACTGCTTACAGCAGCGATGCTAGTGCAAACATCAGAGATCACTTGTTCAGTTGATAATCCAGGTCTCCCACATGACCAGCGGTTTGTATCTGCTGTGCGACCAGATTGTTAGACTCCAGGCAACTGGCATGAAGCCCATTGCTCTACCTCTGCAGTGGTCCCTGCAGTTAAAGGGTAAAACTGTCATAAGAAGCAGGTCTGCTACCTGCAGGTTAAACTGCACCACAGACTTCACACTTTGTGTTAACTGCTTTCAAAATTCCAAAAAGTATCAAAATTCAAGAGTGCCTGGGTGAGGTGTATGTTTATGGTGGATTGTATAATGTTACTGTTGTGAATATGTTACTGAAATGTCTTTGTTTTCTTTCTTCTCTCAATACAGCGCTCCAAAATAGCAGTTTATGAGAAAATGTGGTCTTACATGAAATCAGCTGAACCCTCAGTGTTTGCCAAGACCACTCCAGATGGGGTATCCCGGGTGCGAAAGTCAAAGGGCAAATTTGCCTTTCTACTTGAGTCTACAATGAACGAGTACATAGAGCAACGAAAACCATGTGATACCATGAAAGTGGGCGGAAACCTGGACTCTAAGGGCTACGGTGTGGCAACACCTAAAGGCTCTGCATTAAGGTGGGTGGGATATTATAACAATATCCTCCATGTTGTTATAGTATTCCACCTACCCTGATGTTTCCTTTTCCATTTCTACCTCACTTCTTCTCTCTCCAAGTGCACACTGGTCATATCTGTCTTGTGTCGACTATGTCTGTGACTTCTCTCCTCTCTCTTTAGCACAGCTATTGGTATATTAGTAATATTGAGTTAATCCATTTGAATGTCAATGTGCATTTCACCATTCCCTTCATTTATATTTTTCCTCTTTCCTTCCCTCCCCACTGGTTTGTGGTGCCCTTTGCATTGCCTTAAATTTAATTCTGAAATACCTCCCTAATTAATCTGCTACTAAAACGCTGCTGTCAGTTGTGATGAATGTTAAGCTGCATGCTGGATGTGTATCTCTGACTCAACAATGACACAATGTCCCCATCTCGCACACTACAGTTGGAAAGATGTATCCTTCACACCACCTCTAAGATTTCTTTGCTTCTTACCCTTTCACATCAGTGAAATCTACAACCAATTTGTCCCTTCCGTTCTCCCCTTATATGAACCACTGACAATTACCTCTATTTCTCTACTAATATTCTAATATATTAGATTTCTCACGGACCTGTTCATTTTCTTACAAGCTATGTTTTATCGTTTCAAGAAATGCTGTTAACCTGGCAGTGTTAAACTGAATGAGCAAGGCCTCTTGGACAAATTGAAAAACAAATGGTGGTACGACAAGGGAGAGTGCGGCAGCGGGGGAGGTGACTCTAAGGTCAGCCTCAATGTCACCAAAGTCCGGTATCCTACAATGGAGTAATCGGCAAGGCTGGAGTCACTCACTGTAGACTGGATAAAACTTAACTTTGAGAACTTTACTTATTAGATTAATGTTGCATATGTGATCGAGTGGGAACCCTTTACTTGGCTACTTGGTAGTTATCTAGATAAGATCAACAGTTAAATAGTGTTTTGAGACTAGTTATTGGCTTGTAGTCATGAAATCAGAAATCTTTCCCTTTTGTTTTTATGGCTACATGCCAACATGAAAGTTTTAGGGCATTTTCATAGCTGTACTAGGATAAAAGCTAATATCATTTTCTTTAAGATACCTCTAGTTTTGAACTAAGAATGCACTCTCCAATCCACCTCCTGGGTGCGTTAGGGCCAGCACGGGGGACAGCGTTGTCTTGAGGGGACTAAGCATCTGCAGGCAAACGTGAGAATTCTAATGAAATCTGATTCAGAAACATCTCAGCCCGATATCCTCACATGGAAACCCAATGTAAGACTGACTACACATCACTGGCTCCTCTCCACCTCAGAGCAGTGAGTTCTCTATGGCCACCAAAACAGTGTAAACAGGGGCCTCTTTTGTAAAAGAGTATTTGATTTGACTTGCTAATTTTATATTAAATAAATAATAATATTATATAATATATAAATTGTCACGCCAGGCTAGTGATTGTTTGACAGTATAATCAAAATTAACTAAATTAATGATGAAAGACAAGAGGAGCCCCCCTTCCATGTGTGTTTGGGCTTTGTCAAATCAAATCTCTTTTTAGTGTTCAAAATGCAGCCCCTGACTTATTACTTAGATGAACAGTGCCTCTGCTGCTGTAGGGCTTGCATCATGACTGCTGCGCGCCCTGGAGGAAGAGACAGGCAGAGTTTGCAGTTATAGACAGTCATCCAAACCGAGTGAGCGGAAGTGGATACTAGCTAAAGGATAACGCAGCTCTACTGTCTCCTCTCACAGATGGAGCGCCACACCTTACACCTACTAAATTCATGTCCAACCTGACTGCCATTTTTCTCTGTCTTCATTTCACTTTCAGATAAACAAGTGTGAGTAATTGAGCAAAATCACTGATATCAACACTGTAAATAGTGTCTATATGCAACTTTGGATTTTGGTTCCAAAATTGGACAAGCCAAAAAATGTCATTCTCTGAAATAACTTTTAAAATAAGGCTTCATTAAATGTAAATACATCTGTATATTTAGTATAAGGCCATTATAAGTGTCTGCATCCGCATGTGTTGGTTGCGTGTGATTCCCTGTCTTGTCCTGCATTTGTCTCCCTTCAAAATGTCCCTCCTGTTTTGCAGACAGACTGAAAGATAAAGTTATGATGCAGCACATAAAGAGGAAGGTTTTTGCTTGGGCACATTACAAAAAAACATTTGTACGATGGTTTGGATTCATACAATTCAAGTAATAAATCATACATGTGCTGGATTAAAATCATGGCTGTAAACTTAAATGATTACACAACACAAACATTTTGTCATAGAAACCTAGGCAAGCCCTCTCCTAACACTGTAACTTAACTTACAAGAGTAAGATTTATTTCAGTGATTGTATTAATTTCAATACAGTACAAGTGTTAGTGAAAATGTGTCAAGCAATTAAAGTTTCATTCACTTTACTACTATACCATTGATGGACGCGAGGTTGTCAGTTTGCGCCATCAGCCCCTCTGACCACAAACCACTTTCATACTAGACAATGTGGATGAAGTACCTTGCCTAAGGACACAACAGCAGTTTTTGCTACTAGTGCCCCCCACTGTGGGGCGCTAGTAAAGCAGAAATACTAACTGGGCCCCGCCTTGCTTAGATTCTGAGATCTGATGAGATCAGGCTTTAACAAGGATGTCTGGCCACAAGTACTGTACGTCAAGTACACCAAGTACTGTATTAATAGTATGTGGCTCCATCTGCTGGCTTATCTTAGTTATTACACTATATTTGTATTATAATAATGTATCAGACAAATGAAAGATGTGTGTAGAATCCCTCAGTCGTCCAGGTAGAATCCATGGCAAAGAAGAAATTCAATTTGTCAACTGGAATGAATTTCAACAAATTCAACCTAAATAAACGTTTCTCCTATTTCTCCTTTGCCAAAAATGAAAGAGAAGATGTTAAAAATTTAAATGGTCATTTTACACTTCAATTACCTTCCAGATGTTTTGACAATTATACTTGTTGTGTATGTTAACACACACCAAACTCAGATCTAATTATTGGGCTATCTGAAATGTTCTACTTATGTAAATGTACCCACAATATTTATTACAATATTCTATTTTAGGGGAAATGCTTTCTCAATTTCTTCCCAAGTGTGTGTATTTCATAAAGACAGCAACATGTTACTGTAGTGACCCTGTGTGGCTGGTCCTAGATGTTGCATTCTGAAGTTTAATAACCCAAGCATAACTGGATACCAGCGATGGCATGTTTGGTAAGATATTTTTGCCTATACATATTAAGTGCATCTTCTCTAAAAAGACACTTCCAGGACCAGAAGCCATCATAACTTTACCTTTCATTAAGCTCTGACTGGAGAAAAGGAATGACAGTTCACTCTTGTGCATGTGTCATTTTTGTTCATTTTACAAAACCACCATGTCTGAGTTAATGAAATCAGGCATTCTAGTCAGTTATTGAATTACAAACACTGATTTTGTTTCTGAAAGGATATAACACTTTGAAATCTAGCAGTCAATTTGCCATGATCAAATGTCCAAATGCCCTTAACACCATGACTTAGTCCTTACAATATGATTAAAAGCAGCTTTGTTTGACTTATGTGCACAGATCTTCCATATTTAGGCTTACCTGATTGATTGCTATGAAGTCTTTGTCTTTATTGGTTTTTGTGAGACATCATCTCCTGTAGTTTCTTAATGAAATTGAACTGCTTCATTTTGCCTGTAAGTCAAGAAAGGGTTCCTGTTAGATCCAGCTTGATAAAGATTTAAGGCTGCCCATAGCACAAAATGCACCAACCACATCGACTTAATATGTTACTTTTCTCATTCTGTGCAGCTGCTTAACTTCCTATTTTAAATCTTTTCTCTTCTTGTGATCAGTGTGTGCCGATTACTCAAAGCGATATAGCTGGGGTCTGGCATGCTAGGGTAGTCATTGTGGGTTATCACAGGCCATACATTTATTGTAATGTTGCTTGCTAAAATGTGTCTTGGCCACGACCCTACAATATCGCTTTGCTTAGTATAAAGTAGTTAAAAAGTTGAATAACATAAAATAACATATTAAATGTTATTTATGTTATTTTCCACGTGAAGAACTCCTGTAAACCTTGCTGTATTGAAACTCAGTGAACAAGGCATCTTAGACAAGCTGAAAAACAAATGGTGGTACGATAAGGGTGAATGTGGAACCAAGGACTCTGGAAGTAAGGTCAGTCGCTGCAGGTCTTCTGTACAAAAATGCATTTTGACGTATTCTTCATCTGCAAACATCTATGGCATACATCCTCCCAAACATTACATCTGAACACTGCTTGTATATTTAAAATATAACACTGGTTTAATCCATAAACACATAGAATAAGTTTCTCAAACCAATTTGTTACTTCACTCAGCATGATACATACAAGTATATTTTCATACCATTTTCAGAAGAGAATTGAAACCATTAGACTGCTGTTATGACATCCAAACCTCTATTGAAATTTAGCTTATTGGTGTTCTTAATTCATTTACATATATTAGAAAAAATATGTGAACATTTTAAGTGTAGCTTTGTAAGCACAGAATAGCGGTTTATGCGTTCAAACTACAGGAAGACACTAGCATAGTGCAAAAGCGGATTAATGGATTAGAATGCACATAAATGAATTTCAATGTTTGGCCCTAAATAGCAGCAAAAATGGTTCAATTCACCTTCTTCAACTTGCTATTTGATTGTAAAAATGTAATGTATAAAGGTTGAGGAGTTGACAGCAAAACCAGAGTTTATTCATAGATTGCAGACCTGTACGACCATGACCACCTTCCTAATTAGCATTACTGCAAGTTAGCCAATTAGCAACGAGCATTCCTACATTCACCATTTAAAAAGACTAGCCCATGTATGTTTTTTGTTTGTTTTAAATAAGATTTCTTTATTTTTATTTACATCATAATTTATGATAACACAAATATAATGCTAACACAGCTTTTATTTTTGACAACTATATCTTAAAGGGGATGATGTTAGCATATTAGCTTAAGCTTACTTACTAGTATTCTTTGCACGTTCTATCATTAGAAGATGTCTTAATGGTGGTCTTTACCTTCCCTAGGACAAGACAAGCGCGCTGAGCCTGAGCAACGTGGCAGGGGTCTTCTATATTTTGGTTGGAGGGCTGGGCCTGGCGATGACTGTGGCCTTGATAGAGTTCTGTTACAAGTCACGCCAAGAAACAAAAAGACTCAAATTAGCAAAGAATGCCCAGAACTTTAAACCAGCCCCTCCAGCAAACAGTCAGAACTTTGCCACGTACCGTGAAGGCTACAACGTTTATGGCACAGAGAGCGTTAAAATCTAAAGGGTGACTTCATCTTTTTAGTTTTAAAGTCCATAAACTGTACATAATATGTACCTAATCTACCTTGTCTTTCAGTCTTTCAGTTATAGAAGTGAAATTAGTATATTTCACGGATGTGTCCGGATGAACACTACTACTCTGCGTGACCCTGGCACACTTTATAGACACACCGGTCTTTGGAGTCAACATGAGGTGCTGCTCATTTGTATCTGAGGCCTGATGTCCCGTGACTGTACATACGAAGGCCCGTCCGCACACTACCGGAGCAGGCTTGGTTTGTGCAGAAGGACTTTTGAGCATCTGGAAACATACGGGGGATTTGCCTCTTGTAGTGCCTTATGAAGCATTTGGCGTCATGGCAATGCAATTTCAAGAGATGTGTCAAAAGGGGAATATATTGCTTCCTGACGTATTTAGATAATTTGTTAAAAGCAGCAAACTTGTTTTCTATTTCAAAGAGAAAAAAAAAGCCATGATTTGCAATTAAAGCATCCTGAAAATTCTAATATTTTTGTGGTTACATCTTTACTTAGATTTAATTGTTATAATTAGTGATAAAATTATTATTTTCATTGTCATATTAAAGTAAGCACCATCCTTAAATCAAATGTTAATATGCCACACATACCATCTTGGCACTACTTTCAAAGTGTTTTATATGTGTTGGGCATCATTGTGTTTTCAAAAAGATGCTACTTTGTAAGACTGCTGTTCAACTGCCATAGTTTTCACAATTTTATTGAAATGAGGTAAGCTTTTACATGGCTAATGCATTTTTAAAATGCAACATTAACGACCCTTTTAGCATCACGAAGTTTTTCTTGGGTTGAGTACAAACCCACAATAGTGCGTGCAGTAACAGCAGTAGAGCAGTGAATCAATATTTTCATAGCTACTTTGGTTGTGATGAGCTTTGCATTGTGCCATATTTTTGATTGAGGATCTGTGTAAACAAGCAAGAGCTATGGATTGATTTTTACTTTTTTAATTTCTATGAAAACTCTGCATTAACATATTATGTTTTAAATCTTAGCCCCTTATTCCCAAAATACACTGCATGTGATAATGGGCGAAGTTGTTTCAAAATGCAACTCTGAGTGGACCTTGATTAAACCTCAAAGCATTTGACCCAGATTTGATGGATTTGTGCATTTCATTTGTAAAATTACCTCTGCCATGGGAGTTGCATGTGTATGAACATACTGAGCCTCTGTGAAGAGGTTGTGTATAGACAATTTTAATACATTTCCTTAATAAAACCAGGTTTATATTACTTTTTGTGAGTAGTGCTATCTTAACTGCACAATACAATGAATAGCTGGACAATGCTTGAGATTGCTGATTAAAAAGGAGTATATGTCACAACACAAAAGAACACTTTTAGAGGATGTTACCAGATTCATTAAAGATTTGACAGAAAGTAAGAACAACAAAAGAAGCCAAGTCTACTATTTGATTGTTTAAATGTAAGAATGCCTGCAAGTGTATGTGTTGCAAAAGAAATAACACCATGATTGACACACTAGGAAAACTATTATATTTATTGGGTTTTCTTTTTGTAAAAAAGGTACAATGAATACAGCAGATAAAATTTCCAAAAGTCATTTCAAAACAGCTGTATTTGAAGTACAGAGCCGCAGGTCTTTTGTCTTGTTTTTTCTTTACAATTCTACATTTGAATCAAAGCTGAACTGGCATTTTTATAAATTATATAAAACCTGATTAACATAAATTCACAAAAGGGACAATGTTGGGGAGAAAAATGTGTGGAAAACAATAACATGATACTGATTTCATGTTATTTTTTATTGTACACAATATACACACTGGTCCTTGTATCATATTACTCAGCGATAACCTATAATTTTGCTTGCATTAAAAGATGAAGATAAATAAATAAAAATATCTAAGCATCTTTAAAGGATGAGGTAAGTGGGTATAGAATGCATAACACTAATAAATTGGGTTTAAGCAGAGCTAGACAATGCACAGAAAATACAATTTTTTTGAGCAAAACATACCAAATCCATGAACAGATGCTAATTGGATTTCATACAGTAACCATTTCACTAAATGGGCATTTTTATCAAATGCACATGGCATAACATACGGTATAATAAAAAGACAAAAATGTTTTAAATGGGTTACTGTAAAATCTTGAAATGGAAAAAGGGCTGTTGTAACTACAGCTAACGGTTTTAAGGGCGGGGTTCTTTAAAAAAGGCAGAATAGTATGACTGAAAAACACAGAGCAGGTGGAGTTGCAGTCTTCTTGAGGGGACAAAAGCACTGCTTCTCCAGTTCTGCTGCAAAGACCACAGGGAAAAGGAGGTACTCAACAGCTGATTCATTCATAAGTGGCAACAAGAGGACAGCAACTTACCTCAACGACTCACTGCGCATTATCTATGCTTGTCGGAGGATTTATGAGTGAGTGTGTTAAGGCCTATAAATACTAGTAGAACTGAATTTAAAATTGGGCTTAACCTGTTAAAATGCAGGCCGACCCTGCCCTCCAAACACACCCATTATACAATCATGTAGCTCTAAAGGCTTTTAAGTGCTGCTGGTCTACTTTAACTTTATGATAAAAAGGAACACCATTTGTAATACTACATAACACTTGTATAGCACTTTAACACACTGAATGGTGATGACAAGATTCAGCAAAACACTTAATTGAAAGCAGTTTTTCAATTGAAGTGACCCATCATTAGACTCATTACAAGCTGAACCATGCCCAAGCCGTAACAACCATTATGCTCATAAAGGATATTGCTTTTTTTCTTCTTTTCCACCTGTGCTCTCCCTTTTTTCTTTCTTTTCAGATTTGTCTTTGTCATGTCTGGACTCCTGGAAAATAAGGACAATTCATTTGGGTGTGTACAATTACATCTACTAAATAAACTGAACAAAATGTTTAGTACAAAACATTGCATAACTAAGTGTTCATAATTAACCTTTTTGCCCCCAGTTGAAGTTCTTTCCGTTTTCACAGACTCGCCTTTCTCT